CATCAACTCCCAGAGTTTACTCAACTATGTCCTTTGAGTCAGTGATGCCATCCAACCATCTCATTCTCTGTCGTACCCTTCTCCTCCTGCCTTCAATCTTTCACAGCATCAGGATATTTTCAAATGAGTCAGTTCTTCACATCAGGTAGCCAATGTATTGGAGTTTCAGCTTCAGCATCAGTCCTTCCAATGAATATTCAGGACTGATCTCCTTTAGGATTGACTGGTTGGATCTCCTTGCAGTTCAAGGGACTCTCAAGATTCTTCTCTAACACCATAGTTCAAAAGCATCAATTCTTTGGTGCTCAGCTTTCTTTATAGTCCAACTCTCACATCTATGCATGACTACTGGAAAAACCATTGCTTTGACTAGACAGAACTTTGTTGGCAAAGTAATGTCTCTGCTTTTTAAAATGCTATCTAGCTTGGTCATAACTTGTCTTCCAAGGAGAAAGTGTCTTTTAATTTCATGGCTGCAGTCACCATCTGCAGTGATTTTGTAGACCCCCAAAATAAAGTCTCTCACTGTCTCCTCTGTTTCCCCATCTATTTGCCATGAAGTCATGGGACCAGATGTCATGATCTTAGTTTTCTGAATGGTGACTTTTAAGCCAAATTTTTCATTCTCCTCTTTCACTTTCATCAAGAGGCTCTTTAGTTCTTCTTCACTTTCTGCCATCAGGGTGGTGTCATCTGCATATCTGAGGTTATTGATATTTCTCCTGCAACCTTGATTCCAGCTTGAGCTTCATCCAGCCCAGCATTTCTCATGATGTACTCTGCATATAAGTTAAATAAGCAGGGTGACAATATACAGCTTTGACATATTCCTTTCACTATAGTCTGTCTATAAATAGTCTGTAACCACTTTGTTTGGGGCTGAGAGCTTGGAGTGTTAACACCTCTGGGCCCACTGGCATAATAAACTTGAGTTCTCCAACTCTCCAAGTGTGGTGCTTGGGTTCTCAATACTGGTTTCTGCAACACAATAAATACTAAGAGCTTAGTGATATAAAGCCTGGAAAAGAGAATGGCAACCCACTTTAGTATTCTTGCCTAGAGAATTCCATAGATAGAGATACAGTCTATGGAGTCACAAAAGAGTCAGACACGAATGACTAACTCTTTACGGGTATATAGGGAGTAGTGAACTTAACTTCAAATGGGGTGAAACTTACTATTATCTAAAGTATGTAAGAAGAAAGCCATATGGAAAATAACACAGTGATTTCAAGAGGCCTACCCCAGTATCACAAGGTAAGTATGGAAGTGTCAACCTAAAAAAAATTCACAGCCTAAAATTTGAGAGTTATGTTTTATTTGGCAGAAATTTTTAGGACTTCAAGAATGGAAGACAGCATCTCTACCAACCCTGAGAGAAGTGCTTGGAGGAGGCAAAGGGAGGAACCCTGTTATATAGAAATTTTGCAACAAAGGGTAGGTAGTCTGAACATCAAAAGATGATTGTTAATCAAAGAAAGCCAGATAACCCAAGTTTGTAGCAAACCATTTTAGGAGACTTGTCATGGTTTGGACACTCTTTGGCCCAGTGTCCCACCTATCTACAGATTAGGCTTTTGCCTCATGCCTTGTCCTTCAGGACTCAGGGTTTGCCATAGGGCTTCCCTGGTGGGCGGCCAGCATCTGGGCATGCCTTGTCTCTTTCTTTCTTTCTCTTTCCTGGGCCTTGGACTCCCTCTCCTGTTCTCTGTTATAAAAGGTATTGGTGGCTGTCTGGACCATCTCAACTAAAAAGGCAGGAGGGTCCTGCTGCTGTCGCTGTTGTAACTTTATCCTGAGATCTGATACACAATGGGACAGAAATTTGTCTTTTTAAACCACCTGTCCCTTGTAAGAATCTAAGTCCAGATTCGTAAACTTTTGGAAGGCCTCTTTTAGCCTTTCAGGAAGGCTATTGGGTTCTCTTTGGGCTCCTGAGTTATTGCTGAGACTGGGCACAGTCCCACAACTAATAGTCCCACAGTTGTGGGACTTAGGTACCCAACCTTAGGTAATCAGTTTCAAACACAGCTTTCAGAAATGGGAAGGTGAAGACCTTCCCCATACTTTGTAAGCAGTGGCATAGATGGAGAGAGGAGCTGAAGGATGGGAGGAAAAAGCAGTGGAAGAAGCATACCAAGGAATCCCCTTCATAACCTGCTGGAAAATCTGCTAAATACCTGACCTGTGCTCACAGTTTTCATTGGCCTGATCCTTGGCACAAAGGAGATTAAGAACAGAAGAATCCTCACCTACGTGGGCAACAGCTACTAGGGCACAGCAGACAGTGGAGCCTTTGGGACACACTAGGGAGTAGCGACACACCAGTGCCGCTCGCCTGTTCACAGGGGGTTCAGGGAAACAAGAAAAGAGAGACTGTAAAGGAATTAAGATTTTGTTAGTCATACGTCCTTCCAGCCATAGGAGCAAGGACCTCCTACCTTAACTGGAGGTCTCCTGGAATCTGAGACTGAGCTGCATGAACTTTCTGCAGAGTTTGTTTTTGCTGTCCTGGTTTCCTGCACACTGGGCTTCCTGCCACTTCCCCTGAGCTGGGTCTTCTTTGCATTCAGCTTCCACCACAGGAGCTTTCACCGAATTGGGCTTCTGGTGCGCTTGGCCTCCGCCTCATGGGGGCCAAGCCATGGTTGTTTCAGCCAGGTTAAATCTGAGAAACAGCACCTGAGATGTTGGGGGAGTGTGTAATTTCCTTGGTTCTATCTCACCACAGCAAAAATTTGAAGCAACAGATGGACAAGTGTTACAGCTTGGTTACAGCTCAGTTTTATTTGGCAAGCAAAGGAAAATACATCCTCAAGGCGTGAGGGCAGACCGACTCAAAAGAAGCGAAGTGAAAATTCAGGTAGCTCAATTTTGGCTCTTCTTTTTATATATTTTTTTTCCTCCCCCTGAGCCTGCCCTATGTACATTGAACTAGCTAGGAGGGCTGTTTGTTTTACCTGAAGTTCTCACTGTGGTCCTCAGACCTTCCTTTGTTCTGTTTTCACAGGCTTTCCTTTCTTTGTCCTTTAGCCACCACCACTATGGACTCCTTTTTCCTATTCTACTTACCTAAAAGAACCGTGGAAAATGATGCAAACTTTTTTGGTATGGTATTCCTTGAGATTAATTTCTTTTAACTTGTTAGTTTGTATTGGGATATAACTGATTAAGAGAAAATCAGAAAAACATCTATTTCTGCTTTATTGACTATGCCAAAGCCTTTGACTGTGTGGATCACAAAGACTGCAGACAATTTTTAAAAAGAGGGGAATACCGGACCACCTTACCTGCCTCCTAAGAAATCTGTATACAAGTCAAGAAGCAATAGTTAGAACTATACATGGAACAGCAGACTGGTTCCAAATCAGGAAAGGAGTAGGTCAAGGCAGTATATTGTCACCTCGCTTATTTAACTTATATGCAGAGTGCATCATGCAAAATCCTGGGTTGGATGAAGCACAGCTGGAATCAAGATTGCCGGGAGAAATGTCAATAATCTAAGATACACAGTTGACATCATCCTTATGGCAGAAGTGAATAAGAGCTAAAGAGTCTCTTGATGAAAGTGAAAGAGAGTGAAAAAGTTGGCTTAAAACTCAACATTCAGATAACTAAGATCATGGCATCCAGTCGCATCTTTTCAGGGCAAATAGATTGGGAAACAATGGAAACAGTGAGAGATTTTATTTTGGGGGGCTCCAAAATCACTGCCGATGGTGACTGCAGCCATGAAATTAAAAGATGCTTGCTCCTTTGGAGAAAAGCTATGACCAACTTAGATAGCATATTGAAAAGCAGAGACATTACTTTGCTGACAAAGGTCCATCTAGTCAAAGCTATGGTTTTTCCAGTAGTCATGTATGGGTGTGAGAGTTGGACTATAAAGAAAGCTGAGCACCAAAGAATTGATGCTTTTGAACTGTGGTGTTGGAGAAGACTCTTGAGAGTCCCTTGGACTGCAAGGAGATCAAACCAGTCAATCCTAAAGGAATCCAGTCCTGAATATTCATTGGAAGGACTGATGCTGAAGCTGAAACTCCAATACTCTGGCCACCTGATGCAAGGAACTGACTCATTTGAAAAGACCCTGATGCTGGGAAAGATTGAAGGCAGGAAGAGAAGGGGATGACAGAGGATGAGATGGTTGGATGGCATCACCAACTCAATGGACATGAGTTTGAGCAAGCTCCAGGAGTTGGTGATGAACAGGGAAGCCTGGTGTGCTGCAATCCATGGGGTTGTGAAGAGTGAGACACAACTGAGCAACTTAACTGAACTGAATCTTGATTAACAATGTTGTGACAGTTTCAGGTGAACAGCAAAGGGACTCAGCTGAGGATGTAAATTTTAAGTATATAAAAAGAGTTGTACATTTCATTTGAATACCAGGGTTTTGAGAGGAACTTTATTATGTATTCAATATGATATACAAAAGATCCCAGAATATTCCCCCAATCCAATTAAAGACAAATCAAAGGAACTAATATTCATTAATATTCATATATGAAACTTGGGGAACAATCAAAACCATGAACTGAAAAAATATTAAGTCAGTAAGTCACATTCAACTCTTAGTGGCCCCATGAACCTCAGCACACCAGGCTCCTCTGTCCCCCGCTATCTCCCAGAGCTTGTTCAAATTCATGTCCATTGAGTCAGTGATGCTAACTAACCATCTTGCTGGTCTACATGTTTAGTTTCACTCATTGTTTCAATCCATAATTCAAAATGAATTTCAACAAGAATTGCACACAAGCTGATATTAGCCTGCTTTACTGAGAAGCCTGCATAGGGCACTCTTGATGTCTTTGTTCCTTAGGCTGTAGATGAAGGGGTTCAGCATAGGGGTGATCACAGTGTACATCACCGAGGCTGCTGTATACTTCCTGGGAGATTGTGAGATGGCTGAGGTGAGGTACACACCAAGGCCTGTTCCATAAAATAAGCAAACAACTGCTAGGTGAGAGCCACGGTGCAGAAGGCTTTATATCTCCCACCTGACGATGGTATTCTCAAAACAGAGGAAATAATTTCATAGTAGGAGAAAAAAATCCCTGAGATAGGCAAAAAACCATAGATAGTGCCAAAGAAATACATGATTATGTTATTGATCAAAGTGTCAGAACAGGCAAGCTTGAGGACTTCAGAAGGGTCGCAGAAGAAATGAGAGATTTCCACATCCTTAAAGCAGGCAACTTGTAGCACAATCAAATTGTGCAGCTGGGAGTCCAAAAGGCTAACAAAAAAAGACACCAAAACTGAGGAGCAACAGGTGTGTTGGTTCGTGATGACCATGTAATGCAGTGGGTGACAGATGGCCACAAACCTGTCATAGGCCATCACAGTAAGAAGCATACTATCCATACATGCAGAAAAGATAAAAATAGACATCTGTGTCAAGCAGCTTGAATAGGAGATGACTCTGCTGTGAGTTTGGATGTTCACAATCACCTTGGGGACTGTGGTGGAGATGAGACTGATGTCAGCCAAGGACAGGTTGTAAAGGAAGAAGTACCTGGGGGTGTGGAGGTGAGGGTCAGAGGTGATGGCCAGGATGATGAGCAGGTTCCCCAGCACAGTGACCAGGTACATGGACAGGAAGAGGGCACAGAGGAAAGGCTGAAGTTCTGGGTCATCTGAGAGTCCCATGAGGAAGAATTCTGAGACACTTGTTAGATTTTGTGGTTCTGTGTAGCTCGACCACCTTTTGAATGAGAGAAGAAGGTTGGCAGAAAGGAAAGGGGGACATGGGCATACAGCTCTGTGTCCATATTTTTGGATTCAAGTGATTCACAAGTAAGGTATTCATCTTTGGGGTCAGTGCCTTCAGCAGTATTTCTCAGTATGACGAGTCTTATCTTCTTGGAAATATTTCTTAATTTGTTTCTGTTATTCCTCTCTTACTATACTCATTTACTTTAGAAAAACTCAAATGAAGGGTTATAGAAGGACGTTAGAAATAATAGTAAAATAACCGACTTCTTTATGAAAAAAAAAAATATAGAACAAGATTTACCCTCCCTGCTTTAACAAAAAAAGTCATTCTATTTGTTTTTTGTTTTTTGTTTTTTTTTTTTAATTTTAAAAATTTAAGAACCAACTAAAAATGCCTTATCTTATTCAAACACATTGATAGCTATTCCCTTCATTCAAATATTGATAAATGTTCTAAAAAAGGCAGGAGTGTGTCATCTGGATTCTACATTTTTGAAAAAACATACATCCCAATAAAAAATGAGCAGAAACCCTAAATAGCCATTTCTCCATAGAAGAGATACAGATGGCCAACAAACATATGGAAAGATGCTCATTGTTGCTAATTATTAGCGAAATGCAAATCAAAACTACTGTGAGTTATCATCTCACTCTGGTCAAACAAGCTATCATCAAAAACTATGCATATTATAAGTATTTTGTAAGTATATACATATACCACATTTTCTGGATCCTTTCATCTGTCAACAAACACTGTAGCTGTCCCTGTACCTTTTCTATTATGAATGTGTGTGTTCCTGGTCATTTCAGTCATGTCCCACTCTGTGACCCCATGGACTGTAGCCTGCCAGGCTCCTCTATCCATGGGATTATCCAGGCAAGAATACTGGAATGGCTTGCCATTTCCTTCTCCAAAGGATCTTCCTGAACCAGAAATTGAATCCGTGGCTCCTGCATTGGCAGTTGGATTCTTTACCACTGAGCCACCTGGGAATCCCCTTCTATTGTGAATAACACTGCAATAAGCATGTGGATTTATATACCTAACCAAGATGTTGGATCATTTCCTTCATGTATACGCATAGATATGGGACTACTAGATCATACTGTAATTCAATTTTTTAAAGCTTGCTTTTTATTAATTTATTTATTTGCCAATTTATTTTTGACTGTGCTGAGTCTTTGTTGCTGCACTGGGTTTTTCTCTAGTTGAAGCAAGTGGGGCTACTCTCTAGTTGTGGTGTGTGGGCTTCTCATTGCAGTGGCTTCTCTTGTTGCAGAGCACAGGCTCCAGAGTTTGGGCTCAGTAGCTGTGGCACAGGGTCTAGTTGCCCCGGGGCATGTGTGATCTTCCCGGACCAGGAACTGAACCTGTGTCTCCTCAGTTGGCAGGTGGATTCTTTACCACTGAGCCATCAGGGAAGCCCAGTAATTCTATTTTACTCACTATTAGTTTTTAACTTTTTGAGGAAACTCCTTACTGCTTCCATCATGGCTGTACCAATATTCATTAGCATCAAGCATGTACAAAGGTTTCCTTTTCTCCGAATTCTCACAAACAATTTTTGGCTTTTGTTTGTTTGATAATAATTGTCCTAACCAACATGTAGTGATATCTTATTGTGGTTTTGATTTGTATTTCTCTGATGATTAATGATGTTGACCTGGTAGTGTTGCTTTCCTGATCATAAACACTCTTATTTACAGATGAGGAGTTCAGCACCGAGGGAGGGTCCCACACCCCTGGCAGAACCCAGCTTCTTGTGTTGATTTAAGAGATTTTCATGTCAATTCTTCCAGATAAAGGAATTGCAATTCTCCTACTTCCTCTCTTTGAAGGTAATTCAGGTTCATTATTTTGGCATGTCACACTATTATATAATTGAAAACAAATGTGATATAGATACTATGGTTAATGTCATCTTCCTCCACTTCCTCCTCGTCGCTATGTTCAGGATCATTTGAAGTGCTCAAGGAGAAGTTTAGAGACCCATTTCCTGCTCTATTTGGGGAGATGCCAGCCAGAACCAGAACTAGGAAGAGCAGAAACAGAACTCTGAATGAGAGTTCTCACAACCCAATCAGAACCAAATATATAAACTTCCTAGAACTCTATGCCAAAACTTTGTATATAGGTGCTTTCTCATCTTTCTATCCCAACTGTTCTGTCTGAGTTCTGTTTGAGTAGTAAAGAATGATCCCAACGATCTTCAATCCCCATCTCGTCTCTGTACTTACTGGGCTAGGCGGCGTCTCTGCTGGAGCATGACCAAGAATCACAGACTCACTGCCCTTCTCCTGCCTTGTGTGTGATAAAGTCTCAGGGCTTCTCCTCAAGATGGGCAGAAAGACAGACTCAGGCTGGACCTTCTGATGCAGGTTCCTACAAAGGACAGAGACATAGGCATGGAGCCACAATACAGAACAGGCAAATATATTGAGCTGGAGGCACTGACCAATTATTTACAACGGTACGACCTTAGGGCTTGTAATTAGCCAGTTGGTCTATGTTGTCCCAATCTCTGGAGACTTGTTAATGGTAACAAAACAGGAAAAGGAGAAAAGTGAATGTTCTTGGAAGGGCTTGAATTCTTCCCCTCTTTAGCAGCACATTCACCTGTACTCCTTTCTTCTTACTTTCCAGTGTAGGGTCTTAATATAAAATTCATACCTTTTATTTCCCCAATTTAACCACTCGTGTGATTGTCATATCTGTAAATACATTGTACTAATCACAGAGTCTATGCAACATTAGGTTTTCTACACCAATAATGTGATACACTTCCTCTTTTCTCATTTAATGTTAATCTCCAAGGATATTTTCCTATTTTCATTTCCTTAGCCTTTGCTTGGGTTGCCATTTAATATGGTAGAGATACAGGCTTTTTCTGCTAATTTAAGTACATTTTCATTTGTAAGATTTTTGTCTAACTGAGTTACATTGGCATATTAGAAAATTATCAATTTTTAATTATTATTTGGTAAAGTGAAAGTGTTAGTCACTAAATCATGTCCTGCTCTTTGCCATCTCATGGACTGTAGTGCACCAGTCTCCTCTGTTCATGGGATTTCCCAGGCAAGAACACTGGAGTGGGTTGCCATTCCCTTCTCCAGGGGATATTCCCAATCCAGGGATCAAACCTGGGTCTTCTGCATTGCAGTCAGATTCTTTACCATCTGAGCCACCAGGGAAGCCTGGAAACTGATTATTTGGTAATCAAGTTAACATTATTTGGTAACTGATACTTAAATATCTCAGAGGGCCTCCCAGAAGGTTGAAATCAAGGTGTCAGCAAGAGCTGCAGGCATCTCAAGGATTGACTGGCAGAGGCTCACTTTAAGCTCACTCACTGGGGCTATTTGTAGACAGATTGAGGTCCTGTTCTGCTTTTCAGCATATTCCCAAATGCATCCCACCACCACAATCCCAACAAAAATTCCCTGGACACAAACTAGCAAATGGGAAGAAGACCCCACTCGACAGCTTCAGGCCAAGTAGTCTCAAGCAGACCCCTGGTTTCTGATACACTAGGAGAGCCCTTCCATCAACATCAGGAAAACCTGCAGACATTCCATGGACAAATGTAACATAATTATGTTCCAAGTATTTCTGACCTTTTTTAACTAGAAAGGAATCAATTCACTCCAGAATCTACTTTCTTTGGATTTTTTTGTGTTCTCAGCTCTTGAAGACTTTAATAAAATGTGAATTTTGGCTTATGTGCTTTTTCTAGGGGATTACAAGGTAAAATAGTGACTAGCTCTTCCTTGTTCATCCTACATGATGAATTCTGAAGGAAAAAGGAATCTTCTCACATTCACTGATGTGAACTTGAGAGATTTCTTACCACACTTTTAAAGATTTTTAAAACTTTAAAAACACATATATATGGAATTTAGAAAGATGGTAATGATAACCCTATATGCAAAACAGAAAAAGAGACACAGATGTACAGAACAGACTTTTGGACTCTGTGGGAGAAGGCGAGGTTGGGATGTTTTGAGAGAACAGCATCGAAACATGTATATTATCAAGGATGAAACAGATCACCAGTCCAGGTTGGATGCATGAGACAAGTGCTCAGGGCTGGTGCACTGGAAAGACCCAGAGGGGTGGGGTGGAGAGGGAGGTGGGAGGGGGGATCGGGATGGGGAATACATGTAAATCCATGGCTGATTAATATCAATGTATGGCAAAACCCACTACAATATTGTAAAGTAACTAACCTCCAACTAATAAAAATAAATGGAAAAAATAAATAAATAAATAAATAAATAAAAATCCCTTTATTGCTTGTAGAATTTTTCAAACTCAAACCTTTATAAGTCTTAATCTTATAATTACCACTAGAGGAAAAGTGTACCCCATTGATGGTTCTAAAAATAAACAAAAACAAATCATGCTTTTCTTCTCTCTCAGGAGTTCTTGGAGATGTCTATAGAAGACAAGGTTTCCAGGAAAGAGGAAAATACTGGGTAAATAAATGTTAGATTGTCTTCACTTT